AACATAGGTATACCTGAGCACGCCTTGGCCAATCACTTCGCATGCAGTATTTCACAAACATTCAACAGCGGATAGCCTAGGCCACAGCATTCATAACTGGCAAGTTGTGCAATAACTGAATCATTACATTATCAGTTTTGCTGCAGAATGTTTAAATGAGTCCTTACATGTAAACTGAGACATAATGTGACTTGGCAAAGAACAACGTACATCTGATCAGCCCAGAGGCATCTGAAATTACTTAAACACGATCTGATCCTCCAGCCACTATCCCCAATACCGCACCACAATTCAAGTGTCTTGCGACTGAGAAATGTGATTACACTTCATTGCCACAAACAAACCAAACATGCCACTAACACAGCACTGCCAACTTTTGGTACAACATCCTAAATCTGGTGTTAATTCTGATTCTGGTATATTTATAGTACGTGTCGATACCTACTACTCAAAACTTTGGAGTACCCGGTGTTGTATCGCCCTGCTCCAAGCCCGAAAACCCGAGCGACTCCAGCCGCTTGCACGCATTAAGTTTGGTTTGTTTACAAAATGCATCACAATCGGCACCTGTGTGCCAAATGCAAGGTTTTCACGCATCCCCTATTTTGTTGGTCTCACCACCACACCACGAAAGCAGAGCCTGGTGTAAAAACCAGCATGGCCTGGTAGAGAGCTTTACTCCACGTATTTTTTTCCGAGGAAACTTGACCACTAAATTGTGTCACTCCCGAAATGCATGGGTGAAACATTCAAGAAATGTTCTTTAAATTAAATTTACAAGATAAATATCACCATTTGAGCACTCATGTTAACAGATTTTAAATCAAGTCAGCTGATTACAACATTTTGCCAGAAAAGTGTCAGTCTTTATATTTATTTAACTACATTTGTTTTTCTTGGTGTCGTACGAGTGTGATACCACTTCATTCTTCTTTCCTTTTCGATTGCCTTTAGAGGTGCCACGTGCTGCTTAAAATGTCGACCAATTTCTCTGCAAGACTCTCCAACTGCAAACTTATACGTATATTATACACCAATTGGATTAATCCGCCAGCCGCCCAAAAATATTTGATATGCACACAAGGGTGAGCGATTCACAGGGAATAAAAGAGACAATTTGAAGCACGGAACTTTTCTTTACCACCATTTTTGCGCCGTTAAACCCTCGGTTAACCGTTTTCTTGGTTCATGGCGGTGCTTACTAATGATAAATATAAGCCTTTCGAGTGTCTAATTCACCAGGCCACCTGACAAGGCTATCCTAATGCTGCCATACAGAGCTTTGGGACAGACCTGACGTAGAAGTGTTTGATGGCGAAATTCTGCCCTTTGGAGATGTTTATCATGCACACCTCTAACTTGTTTCGCATTTTATTCTCGAAGGTTGGTGGGCATGATTGCTACTTATATTTGGGGGATGAGTGGGATGACTTTGCCATCAGACCATGCAAAAGGTAATGACTTTTGTTTTGGGGGAGCAGGAAGAAGTCAGTAAGTCTCCTGTGGACCAAGTAATTGTTTACCTTACCTGCTTTCAACATATGATTGATAACCAGAGTTAGCTATGTTCTATTTCAATCAATTGAGTGTTGTCATAAGACAAATTATGATGCCACAAGGCATGCAATGGGCTTATTTTGTTCCATGTTCCTGATTATTTGCCCCAAATTTCTTGAAGTGTTCCCTAATGGTTGCGTTAACCGCATGTTTTCTATGTTTGTCATGGTTTGCTGGCTGGCAAATGACTGTACTGTATATATGCAGTATATTTTTCATACAGGGATACTCTAAGCTGCATAGCAATTAAAATGTGAGTTAAATATTAGTATGAAGCAAATAGTCAGACCATCCCATTTAAATTGTGAATCCAATATTTCAAACTTTATCATTGAATGTGAATAAGCAAACCTAAATAGATGCCTTGCTGCAGCTGAAAAGGCAAGCAGCAATACTGGCATGGTCATCTCAAAGTTATGTCACTTTTGGAGAAGAGAGATTGTTTCGTGGAGTATACCCATTATTGCCCTTGACATAGGTTAACCATGGCAATCAAATAAGTTGTTCAAAGTGATTTAAAGTGTTTTGATTTTTGTGTTGTCAACTCGGTCTGATGTCAACAAGCATACACAAATGAACTGAATAAAAATGCAAGTTAAAACCAGCCAGAAATCAGCTTTATCATGTTTTTATCACAAGTGCTGCTGTCAACATATGGGTGAGTTGAGATGATGTTCAACATATGGGTTACTCTAAGTTAGGTTAAGTTGGTTAAGTGCATAGCAAGTGGCAATAGGAATTGTGCATGAATCAGTAATTCACAATTGCTGCCGTGACACAAACAGGTTAGACAGGATGAGCTGAAGTAAGGCCTATTTAGGTTAGGCATAGTTAGGCTACTTTCATGGAAATAAGCATTGGTATTTTGTAAGAAGCAGTGACAAAATATTTGTTTTCCCTGACCCCACCTTAACAGAAGCCAGAGGTATGTCTATTGTGTTTGACTTGGTGATAGGCTGATGTGTATGTGTCCAAGGTTTTTTTGTTTGAGTGTTTTGCGCCTGATAAATTTTCTGTTGTTATTTTGCTATTGAGTTCCTTTGCTTTGTGTTGCGTTAAAAGTGCTGTAGAAGGTAAGCGCAAAGTGCAGCATCAAATTATTGGTGCTAACAATTTTTATGCTCGTTACACTGTCATCATGCTTTAATGTACCCTGTTTCACTTAAGTGGCCTAAGATATTAAAAACAAAATGGTTTTGTCAGGTTTCTGATATTACGTCCATGCCAACATGAAATAGATGTGTTTGTTTGCTGAAGCATCAGTCGAGAGCTCATAAGTTTCATCTTTTGTGACTTGATTTTTTCACTCCCTCGCGGTCTTTTTGCGATGGAATGTTTCCCTCCCACCCTAGTTTAAAAGCGATTCTAGCCCCCTGAACTTAAGGTAGCGCTGGTCTCTCGGTAGCGCCTGGCCTATGTTCCAGTTATAGAAGGTAAAAATATGTAAATTTTATGTAGTTATATACACATATAGGAAAAACATGTTCTCTACAACAACTGGGTCATACCACACGGTTTCTTTGGAGGGGGGGGGGGGCTCTTTTACTGCAAGGGGGCCCTTTGTCAACCCTGTGTCCCACTCCACCACCCCACCCCCCAGTCCTTGTCAAGGCTATGGTTGCGTCCTGGATGTAGCTAATCTAGCTCCGCTGTGCGGCTCTTCTTAGAGCGTCTGAGGAGAGTGTCCCTGGTAGTCGCGTTAGAAATCTCCGTCGATCTAGGAGGCTCATTGCTTCCGGATACCCGAACCGTGCGTTAACACGCGCCCTTGTGGCCGACTAGATACCCTTCGCTCGGGTGGGGGTCAATTTGACCCCCCTAAGATCTCGGGAACTAAGAAAGCTGGACACACCAAATTTGCAGGGTGTATTGACCTGTACGTGAACTCACTTAAGTCAAAGTTTGAGGTCACCAGGGTGTGACCTTCGGGTTAAATAAGATCAAACAAGGTCAAATTTCAGGTTGGTCTCCAAAGTTCCGCCAGAACCTAGGTAGCTGTTTGTAAGCAAAAGGCCACAAGCTCATTTAAGGTCAGTGACCTTGATTGACCTTTTGAAGGTCATGGTGATCAAAATCATATAAGATTGCCCTGAGTTTTGCATTTGAATAAGGGACAAAGATTACGCTTGGCAGTATGTTCTTTAAAAAATGTCGACCTGAGTCGTCTTAGGCCAATGACCTATTATAACCTCTAAGAAGTCAACTGAAGACGTATGATGCGGTTCCTGCTATCAATGAATTCAAAATGAGCACCGGAAAATACCCCATACCGCAAACAGGTTGGTTTTGACCTTGGTCTGACCTTCATACCTAACCTTAGGTCAATTTAATTTGCTCATTCAATGCTTTCGTTGCCTAATAAAGCATCTCAAAGATGTATAGCTTCGTCAAACACTCCGTTGTTGCATCAGATTAAACGATTCCCTAGAAATTGACTGCTGAAGCCATGGCCTGTCTTTGACCTGCTATAGGTTAGTGACCTTACAAGGTACATCTAAATTTCTCACACCAAAAGATCCACTATTCAAATGTGAACAGCTATGCAAAATTTGGCGCGGCTACACCGCGCCGTTCGGTAATCATTCTGGAAAAAACCTTCGGGGGGGGGGGGGGTCAGTTTGAAGCCCCCACCCGAGCGGGCGGTAAGAGAACGCAAATGGAGGACTTGGGGGCGATCCATATCAAGGGCTCATTCGGCGCTTCTTGCTGCCGAAAGGAACAGCGGCTTAAGGGTTTGAGGCCGGATATCGCCGACGTTGCTTGCAACCGCAACGAGACGCTTTGCCCCACGCTCAGCTGACTAGTCCACCACTCTGCTGCTGCTTCTTCCAGCCTCGATCAGCGTCATCTTTTGACCATGTGGCGACCTGCGAGTGCTGTCGTTCCGTATGAGATCGTAGTTATTTTATTTTGAAGGGTAAGATGGTACGATTCCGTTGCTTTCCGATACTGGCTGCTGTATCAGGACCACGTTACCTCGGAAAATTGCATGTACAGGGAGAAAGTTTTTTTTCAAAATATATAGGAGTGGGTGAGGGCTCATGAAGAAGCAAATGGCTGAGCCTGCCTCCAAGTACGATCAAAACAATTTTCTTCTCAGATTTGACCCTCTTTTCAGAGTTAGGAGTTAGGAGCCTAGTTTCGCAAATTGATTGGGGGGGCTGGTTGTGATCCTGAGCAAGCAAGGCTGTCTCAGGCAATGCAGATAAGTAAGAAATGCATGCCACAAGATCTTGCAGTCTGGGAGCATACGACATGATGCAATGTCCATGCGATAACGTACAGAATAAGCATCTCGATGACACTGGGACGTGGGAGAGAGCACATATTGCCGGCCAACAGTTGCGAATCATGGGAATGGATGCAGGCTCAGACGGTTAGACAAGCTGATACTGGCGAATATAAACAGTCGCACCTCTTCTGACACTCACTCTTGTGCCACGCCCATCAAGGTAAAGAAAGTGAGTGCGAGTGACATACAACATTTGACTACTCACTAATTACTCTCTATTTCTTCCTCTTTTTCAGGCCCCAATTACTGTCCTGTTAATCTGGCATCCTACTCAAGTACAAAGATTTACTAACTGTAGGCTTTCTCGGCATGCACTGTCCACAGAAGACTTTATGTTCGTAGTGCGATAGTGACCCGTGATCGTTAGTAATACTTGTTTTATTTGAATTGGTAGAATACATCCCAGGTGCCAAATGACCCCAAGGAGCTGGACTTAGCCTGGCTGAAAAGAGTGCACCGCGCAATAACAAAACCAAGTTGCCACGATCTAAACTCAGCAGGCGTTGAAAACGCCAATTTTTCGTAGCGCGGTATGGAGTCGGGTCCGCCAAGTTTTCTTATTCAAGATATGTAGGACGAGCAAGGTGCACTCAATGGGCAATTCTGTTTGTAAGCCTCCCCCCACAGCAAATCATAAACTCATGACATATGTCAACTTTTGCGTATCATCTTTGCTACAACACTTCCACAGCGAATGTGCCGCAATGCTGCACTCATCCATCATTGGCCTGCGTTAAGGCCAAAGCTGCGAGATTACTGTTCCTCAGCAAGCCCAACAGAAGGGAAACATCAAATGAATCGGAAACGTGCCCCAACCTCCCATGCAATTAAGCTACCAATGAGTTTTTGCGAGGCCCACCCCTATCAACCAGGGAATTCACTCCGATTCGATGAAAGCTATTTCGCTCCAGCTGATTATTGGTCTTTCGCTCCGAAGATATCTGGAAAGAAGCCGCGGGGCAAACAAAAGCTACTAAATGTCGCATGATGTCAAATTCTGAGTCAATCAATGAGCCTTTGCACCCGCAACTTGCCAGCCAAACACTTGGCATGCAAAACGCCTTCCAATTAGATACACGTGCATAAAAAACAGCACTTCGCGATGAGGCATGCCATGTATTACGGAATGCTATCAGTCATTGCTCACGCCCTCATGCCATCAACTACGCACACTAATAACACTGTCCAACTTATCGCACACATCATACACACTATCACACCGTTGGCCAAGGACGATCCCTATATTAAAGACAGATAATCGCCTGCTAAATCACCCGTGATGCTGGCTGCGCATCATTGTTTATATTGATGCTGTCTGGTGCAAGGCGGGCTTTAAGGATCATTTCACTCAATGATCTTTCATCTTGGATCATATTAAGGCATGTAAGCCATGTAAGCTCTTTAAGCACTGTAAGGAAGCTCTTCAAGCAATGTAAGTAACCTCTGAAGTATTACATACATATGAACAGGGAAGCTGCAAGGAGTTAGCTTTGTCGCGTCGGTATTAGAGAGGTCATGCTATTTCATTTCACATTACTCACACACACACACACACACACACACACACACACACACACACACACACACACACACACACACACACACACACACACACACACACACACACACACACACACACACACACACACACACACACACACACACACACACACACACACACACACACACACATACACACACACACACACACACACACACACACACACACACACACACACATATATATATATATATATATATATATATATATATATATATATATATATATATATATATATATATATATATACATATAAGTAGGGATGATTCGCAGGTATTTAAAAGCATGTTTGCAGAGACGCATAATCGGATAAAATTGCGATCTGCTGGCTATAAGCCTACTCGTACTTTCAGGAACATGTGAAGTGCCCGATTTCACACAATTATACATTAATCCGTCGTGAAAGCGGTTTTTGTATTTTTGGGCTAATGTCTGTGGGAAAAAAGAGCACCATGTTACTGACACGATCCAACTTATTTTTTAAAGATCACAACGGCATCTTTCCACTAGGTGAGCAATACGCTGCATCAGTTTATTCCTGCGTAGACACTCATACAGCTGGGTACATAACTATTATTGTGAGCGCGTAGAATAAATTTCTTACCGACTTTTTCACATCATATTTCGTTTTCATCTTACGCATTTGCACTTCCCTGGTCTGAAACCCGGGACAGTATAAAGACGACGCCTGCATTTTCGGCTTTAGCGCATTCTGCAACCGAAGGTAACGCACCTAGCATCTTTCAACTTATCATCCATATTTAACAACTGCATGCAACACCAGTGAACTGGTAAGACAAGTTCAGAGCCAATAGTAAGTCAAAAAGGTTACATGTCGTAGTCATTGTCACCAGGTCGCCGCCAGCTCGAGTCTCATAGCTAACAATGACCGCCATGTTCTTTAAGTTGAGAAAGTCAAGGTTGCATGCAAATTTGGTGTTGAAAAATAATTTGTTTCAAGTGCCTTAGATGGGGCACAGTGTTATATGTATATGTCTTGTTTTGTAGTGTTTGCTCAGCTCCGCAATTGAAAGACATATTGCCCTGTCTTCACTGGCCCGGAACGCATTAACTTGTACTGAGTTCCTTGCCATTAACGAATAACCAGCGAAGTAGAAGCACTGCACGAGCCACCCTTGCTAGTGAGTTGTCAGTGGCTGGCGGTCTATCAATATCTGATCCGGTTCAGCGCGTGGTGCGATCGCGCCCTCGGTACTTCCCCATCGCTTGGTGAACGGTGACGCACATTGCGGAACTGGAAGCCATCGCATCGCTTGGCTGAACGGTGACGCACATTGGCGGAACTGGAAACCAGATAACTCGCGCACTGATTCGTTGCTTTCGATCACACGGACTGATGCGGGAGAAGGGACGACGCAACATCCCCTGACGTTTGTAGACTAAAAAAATGTGAGGCATTGCGGTGGATTGTGGATTGTCGCTTGGTTCAAATTTGACCCCATTGAATCCAACCAGAGGCAATTTAAAAAAAAAAAGATTTTTCGAATTTGGATACTCAAATGCACTGGACCATACTTTGCGACGACACTGAACTTCATCGGCGGATTCATTGTCCAATTCTGAGTAGAATGGCATGAATGCTATGTTTTTGAGCATACGTTTATGATGTAGGACCCGTCGATATGACGGGTAAGATATGACGGCTATATGACCCGTCGATGTGTCGGCCCACCGGGTAAGTCCGTGGAATCGTTCGTCGCCAGCTGCTGCCCGCCTCGGCAGAGGATCGCCGTACAGTGGCGAAGCCAATAATTTTTAGTGCGTTTCGTTGGTATGCGATTTAAATTAATGCTTTCTTGCAATCACAGCCAATAATTGACACCCGTCTGGCATGCGTCATGCGTCGCGTATGTCTATGTACCCTTTTAAGCATCAAAGCAAATATGTATATATATATATATATATATATATATATATACAAAGTCATGCACCACAAAGGGTTCTAGGCATTCGTAACTCCTTGGAAAGGAAGAACTTTGGTCACGCATTGATAATTTGATGTCTTTTTGATTTTTATTTTCGATTATGGACGTGAAGCGGTACATAATATGATGAGCATAAACATACGTATAAAGCGTATGTCCCGAGAAACATTCGGCAGGGCTCTTGCAAGGCAGCGAATACCAGCGCTGACACTTCATTTGGTTTTGCAGACTGCATCACCATGCGCGCCGCTGTGCTCGTGCTGCTCGTTGGGGCGGCGTCCTCCTTTGTGGAGAAGTCCGAATGGAATGCCTTCAAGCAGGAACACGGCAAGGCCTACGCCAACCCCATCGAGGAGTTCTTCAGGATGAAGGTAATATAACAGGGCGCCTTTGGTTTCCCGAGCATGATGCCAGCTAAAGGGAATGTTCCACACCTGTATGGGGTTTTGAACTGAAATAGTCACGTTGAAGATCACTTGGTGCAGTTCACAGCCCTGTCCTTCTTAAAACCCAAACCCTTCTAGTTTCTGAATTACACACCGGCGGAAATGTGCGGACCATTTTGAGGAGACTATCTGAAGATTGCTGAGGTATTCATGCCCTCACAACAGCGTCACTGAAGTGCTGCCATTTTGGTGGTCATAAGGCGATCGAGGCGAAGCAGAATACAATTGTCGAGTCATTCACATCTGGCGTTCGTGAGCACCATTTCCAGGCATAACGGCCGCAATTGGCTCTGATCTGGACCAAGGTCATGTGATCTGTGGCATATCATGATTGTGCATGTGAGTGAAGACTTTCACACGTAAACATCAAAACTACACAAAATACGTAGAAATCTGCATTGTTTAAAAATTATGAGACAGTACCTGACCTCAAGTCACTTACCTCACCGGTTTCGTAGAATCTCAGAAATATAATCTGTAAATATATTCAGAAATATCATCTCTGGTCTTCTGCTACTATAGGCGATGCAAGCAATGGCGAATAATCCACCAAAATGTTATGCGTGTTCAAATGTTTTTAAAGTTTGACCTTTTCGACACGCCCTACGTCACTGCCCTTGGCAGATCAAAACTTAAAATTTTCACGCAGGATGCCAAATTGATAGATAAAGAGGCATTGGAAATTGTGTGTTTCTGCAAGCTTTTGTCATTCGACTGTGCTCGAAAAATCGTAAGAGGGAAGTCACCTTCCCCTGGCCGGGCTCGGGTCAATACAAACAAGCTGCGAACACCATGATGGAAGGGAGGAAACCATTTGTCTCAAAAACCAGTTTCCTAAAATTTTGGGCCAGACGAAAAATCGACGAAAAAACGGCAGCGAGGATGAGCAAAGCTAGTCATGATCTTTTGGATCGAAGCTGGGCCTGACCAACATTCACACGCACTATGATTCGACATGGTTGTATCGGCTCCAATTGGTGATTGGCTAAACACGCAAGTTGATTTCGTTCCAGACCTTGACAATCACTTCAAAATCAAGTCAGTTTTTTTTTCTGCAACCCCAAACTTCTGATTGCTGTATTGGAGAACGGTGTGAATCACGCCTGTATCAGTGTCGCACAAGGCGAGTTTCCTTTTCGACCAACTCGCCGAACGAGAAGTGGTGGCACCAGTCATCCTCTGTCTTTAGTTGACGGCCCCATGACGCGTGCAGAGTAATATAACCAGGCAAACAGGGTATATTGTACATCGGAGCTCTTTCATCACAACGACCTAGCACAATAAGTCAATTTAGGAACCAACAGACGTCCCAGTTTCTGCGGTTTATACCTCCTCAGAGCCAAGATGAACAGGTAAACTGGAATCGCTTTACCCTATGATGATGAAAGCTATTAGGAAATTGCATGCATAGCCTGGACCACACGTACCGAGTGGTTTCACCGTTAATTCCATTGCTTCTAATACACTTTCTCTGTGGGATTTTTGTGTTTAACGCTTCTGAGTTCAATTGAAAGAGCGCATTCATCATTTGGAAACGCAGACTCCCGGTTGGTGCATTCCTGCACAAAATGGCACGTGTGATTATGGGATGAGTTCACATTCTGAACATCGAATACGGCCTTTGATGTATGATCTAAAATAGTAAACATAAATAAATTAGTATTACGAGTTCTGACATAGCTTAAGTACTACCAAACCTCACAGCATTTAATTTGGTTTGGTTCGGACTACAGCTCTTTCGAACAGAAATTCTCTTTTTAGGGCTATGGGATGAAGGAGAGTAGGTGGCGGTGGGAAAAAAGTACACACACTTTGGGGTCATCCGCCGACGCCCAGCCCGCACAGGCACCCTTATACGGGGTATGTGTTCAGTGCCTGGACGGCGCCCTGCCAACCGGCGCTGAGCTTACTTAGGCCTGGTACACGTAGGTTGTCCCAAGAGTTCTAGAGTAAAAGGCTACGCAGACGTGACGTTACCATGGGACTAAAGTTTGGTAGCCCGCAATATGGTTTTTGGTTGATACTGCAAGAGGATTGGTAGGTACTAGTGAGATGATTGCAAACGAAGATTTCGCCAACGAATTAGGTGGGATTCCTACTCTAAATCTTTATGTTAATGTTACATGAATAGATATTCTACGCTTTGCATTTCAAACCTTCTAAAGACAAATTAATACTAGGATATGTTTCCAAACATAGTTCCAACTAAACCACGTTTTCTAGCTCCAGCACCCGCGCCATATTCACCGCAGCCAACCCGCCTGAAAACTTATCAATCCTTTTTGTAAAATAATTATTGTTAATGTAAATCAATAAATGTCATATGTAGCATTTATCTAATATTTATAAACGTGCAATGATTCCCTATTCATCGTCGTTCTGCAGCACCTGTATGGAGTAAAATGTAGAAATAAAGTAATGTGACGAGGGCAGGTGCCAATAATTTTCCTGTTTCTCTGCTATGATCTTCCCAGGCGTTGATTAACTTGCGATCCATAACGTCGGACGGGTCAAACGAAAAAGGGCGCAGGGAATAACACCCCGACTACCGTAATATATCCCAAGACTATCCCCGAGCTTGGATATGGGTGCGACGCTTTGACGGGCAGATATTGCAAACTTGCCAGAAATCATCCCATTTTACAAATCTGCTATCCGGCACTGATATGGCGCGCACTGCATTTGTGCCTCCCGGAGTTCACCACTCACTAACCCCATTGGGGCAGGCCAACCCTGCATCCACCCCGACAACGCATACCCACCGCATTGTCGGCGAATTTCAGCAATGATGTAGCTCTGGTGTAAACCAACGCCATTTGCTGGCTGAAATGCCTCATAGAATGTGATGGGTCGAAAAAATCCGATTTATGGACATATTTACGTTTAAATCAGCCCGCGACGGACAGCGTTTTCACGCCGCCTTAGCGTTGGTGCGGTCTGATTTAGCCCCATGATGACGTAGCGTCGCCTACCCAGAATGCAGTGGTGTGGGGGTTGGGCTTATACCAGATAAACTGACCGTCGCGAGGATGCGAGACGAAAAATTTAAAAGGAAAGAAGGCGGGATGAGTCCCACGAGTTTATTCACCTATTGCTAGACACAGTACATTTTCGCGATCGTAAGGAATTCTTGAATGTATGCAAATGTATGCAAAATGTATGAATGTATGCAAAGCCAAACGAATAAACAAGACAAATACCTTTTTTGGCCTTGAGCACAGAGGAGACCAAATTCAACAGGTTGGGCGGCAGGATAATACCAAAATATACTATATTTCAAATTGGTACCGGCACAGCGACCTCATATGCTACCTTTTATCCATTGTTTTTATAATATTGCCACTTAAATACAGATTGATTAAGACATCATATCTGGCTAGAAATTGTAATCTGTTATGGGAAATATGTAGACAAGCATCCTCGATAGCCTAAAACTTTTGCTAAGTCTGGCAATGTTATAATTATGGTGCTCCGGCGACATAACAACACTGCACGGTTCTGCTGGAAGCATGCAGGGCAGCACAGGCATGTTGCGTCGTTCATTGCTCGGCAATCCTGGTGAACATTTTCGTAAAAGTAACTACAATGGCACTATCCTCACGTTTACGTCATCTACCCTAAATTGCGTCCTGAAGTAGCCTACAAATAAACAAAACTTCTAATTTTTGGACCCTGCACCGGTGTTGCATCTAAATTTGTCATGGAAGTTTGCCTAAATTTGTGTAAATTTGTCATTTGTCTGTGCTCATTGCTCGGTTCACAGCTCACTCACTCACCCGCTGCGCCTAGATAAAATACACAACGCGGAACACGTCACGATCTAATAATATCACGCATGGTTGTGAAGTAGCGCCATCTACTGCTGACACCTGCACTGCAGATTGCTGGCTCGCACTTCTACGTCAGTTCCAATCGGGCCATGTATTGTATGTATATATCGTATGTATATATTCCACCGGCTCTATACGTTGCGCGGACCTGTCAGTCAGACCAGCGCGGACCTGAAGCTGTAAGTTTACAGCTTCATTGCTGCAACGCGGTTATGACATTCCTGGGCCCCTCTTTTCCGCTGACGAAGGATGCAAGAGTGCCCCTCCCTCTTCCTCTACATTGGGGTGTAGAGATAAAATCGAAGTTCATGGTTTCCAGAACGAGAAAAAATGCTTGCATGCAGTCCAACCAAGCGTTTCATTCACCTCCAAAAAATGTACAGCAATTCTTTCAAGCGTCGCTGCAAAGAATGCGATGCTTTCTATGTTATGTTCAAGTTACCGTACAGTCGCATGAATACTGCGCCGCATTTTCATGTTGGTAGTGATACCAAAATTCCATGCGGTTCGTGCTTGAGTCAAAATATTACAGTAGCGCAATAGTCAGTGGCGACGAAGGTCTCGCGGCACAATTAAAAAGAAAAACGCCGGACGGATCAGGATAAGGCGCTGCTATTTCCTGTGAGTGCATTCAAGAATGTTGTTCCTGGAGCACACCTCCCACAAATGGAGCATCCCACGTTGTGTGCTATTCATCTTCTGAATAGATAAAACTTTCCTAGTTAAAGTAACTGAACCTGTGGAAGAAATATACTTCCATTCCCTGTATACCACTATGAAAGTAATGCTTTTCATCCGCCTTGCCGTTCCAGTATGTGCGTTCTGCAATGTTTGCAACACACAAATGTGTCAAAATAGTTGTGAAATAAATGCTACGAAAGCTTGAAACACTTCAGGCAAAAAAGCATGCGGACAGGAAGCTATTTTTCCGTGAATTCCTACTTTTCCGTGAATATCATTCCGTGAAACGTTATGCTACATCTTGCTACGCCATGCTACGTCTATGATCTCCCCCCTAAGGTGTTTACCAAAGTGGCTCTTTTTAAGGCGCACTTCAGCTTTGGAATGGTCCATCACTGGTTCCAACTTCATAGTTCACATTTCAAGCTTGGAATATTCATCCAATGCGCTTCTCGGTAACATCTCCTTGCCCGTTAGGCCAATCACAAATGTTCTTTGATTCGCATCACCAGAGGTGGTCATGGTGGTTCTCAGGACGGCAGTGGTCGCTACTGCAGGGAAGAAGTGTAGTGCCGTTACAAAACGTTGACAGCGTAACTTTGTCTCGAAAATGATTAAAATTGACATCCTTATGCTGTCTTGACAATGATGCAATGATACTACCCAGTGCTATTATCAGAAGAAACTAGAGTACGTTTTTGAGGTTTCACTAGAGTATGTTTTTGAAATATGCCTCAAAGATGGGACACTCTTGCTAAGGTAAACAACGCCACTGAATCAAGACACTGAGATGCATCATCTACCTTGGAGATGGTCTAGAAATATCGTCTCTGGCATCCATCAGTGACTGACACGCACACACGATAGTGTTTTTTTGAGACTGTTTTCAGTGATCGAATGCCGGCAGTCCGGGCCCGCACAACAGTGGCTGCAGAGCGAATGTACCCCATCTTCCTACGAACTAGCAAAGTACGCACGCGCTCTCGCAGGTCTATGCCGACAACAAGGCGTACGTCGACAAGCACATGAAGGAGTATGCCGAGGGAAAGCACACCTTCACAGTGGCGCTGAACCAGTTTGCTGACCTGACCACCGAGGAGTGGAGCCGCACGTACAAGGGCCTCGTCATGGGCAGCAGCCAGCCTCACGAGACCCACCAGCCGACCGGCAAGCAGGCTCCCAGCAGCATGGACTGGCGCCAGTACGGCGTGGTGACCGGAGTCAAGGACCAGGGCCAGTGCGGCTCGTGCTGGTCGTTCTCAGCTACCGGCAGTCTGGAGGGCGCCTGGGCGTTGTCCGGCAGACAGCTCGTCTCCCTCAGCGAACAGCAGCTGGTCGACTGCTCCCGCGCCTACGGCAACCAAGGATGCAACGGCGGACTCATGGATGCCGCCTTCCGGTACGTCAACTCGGGCCTAAGTCAGCTCAGAGGAACATTTCCATTCAAGAATTTAAACATTTCCGTCCATAGCGTGTGTTGGGAAAACATCTTTGATGGCCAGAACACGGGCATTCATCCAGGTAATCTTTTTGATGCTAGAGCAGCTGTAATTGGGTGCGTACATGAAAGCAGTTCACCCCAGCTGGAATATTTTCTTATATAATAAATTCCACCTTTGTTTACACCACGAAATAAACGTGACATGGATAGCTAATTGTTCACAATGGTTTCAAGTGCCTAACGAAACTCATCCATAAAATATTTGCAATATGGAGGGCACAGGGGAGAAATGCATGCTACATTCTAGCCAGTAGACATGAGTTTGTTCACGGGATGGTGCTTTGTCTCAATCATTTCCTCGTTTCAGAAACGAGTTGTTGCAAGTTATAAATGATTTTAAAATATGCTGAATTCTGACACTTCACCCCCACTATTAAGCCGCAAGCCCATTCGCCTCACTCCTGGCATTCCTCACCGAATCACCTAATTGTTCCAGCTGGTGCTGGCCGTTAGTGACTCCCCATCAAATCAGCGTATCTTGACAACACTTGCATTGACTATCGCTCATGGTGGTTCCGGACGAAAGTCGCGGCAAGCGTGTGCAGAGAAGTCGCTGTGTTTACGGGGCAATACATTGACATATTTATGGTTACTGAAGTCCACCGTATGGCAACTCAATTTTATGCTCCAAGTTTACTAATAATGGCATTTTGAGTTTTTGAGTAGTGTTTTTATTTTGTCAGTTTACTGAAGCGTTGTAATGCCATGGGAGAGAGGGAAATATAAAAGGGGAATAATACCTGTGGATAGCTGACATTAGGTTTTGTGCTAAAATCAGTCATTTTTGCTTATACGGCGGCTGTCGGGACAATCCCGAACTTGCATGGATGTTAACTACATGCATGTTACACAGGCAATACATCAAGACACCGAGGCGATGCCGCATGCATAAATACGGGGAGTAATTTGGCACATGCATAGCTCTCATTCCCTTTCCAGACATGTTCCCTCCCTGCCCTTCTCAGCCAGCAAGGTATATCGTTTATTAGGGTATCCCCTTTTCCCATATTGTTTAAGTTGGAGCTTTGATTTTCGAGCACCATTCGACGCGTTTGGGCCACTGAGCTGAAATATCACATGTTTGTTATGAAAAATGGAAAAGCTGGAGACTGCTAACAGGTTTTAAACGTGCTTGACAATTGCACTTTGCATGTCACCATCCGTTAACTAAAGGCATCGTTAAGCTCAATGATCAGCATAATTTCATCCGATTGCTTATTCTATTCATGTGCTGACAACGGTATACGTTTATTAGACCCCTGTGCCAGGCAGTTCTTATGCTCGTCATTGCCATATAATTGCCGATGTTAATCGTAGTTCGGAATGCCATGAGAGGAAATATGCCGAAGAAAATTACGGCAGTGGTTTCTGTGATAACGTAATTCCTAAGCGAGGGCACAAGGCGACATTTTCTCGGGTTTTATGTTGGAATATCAATATTCGGTAACCATTTGTCGCGCCTACACCCGCTGAACTGAAACTTGATATCCTTTTTGCCAAAATGTACGGCTTTGAGACCGGTAAAAATCCCTGAAATTATCGTAAAATGGCATGCCTGCACATCACCATTTGGACACATAAAAAATCGCGCAACTTATCTTATTGTCGTGGCTGACAATGCGGCCGCAGCTGTGTTTCAAGTGCCCTACACCAGGTGGAGAGATAAAGATCATGCCAGTGGTTCTCTGTAATCATTGCACTATTTGCCAACTACACAGACATATGTAGTGGACGATCGAGCATTTAAGACTCGTCTACACAAGCTTAAAAAATCCCATTCTGGTTAGCCAAATGCATGTCCTGTGCAGTGACTGCTTCTTATTCCGGATCAGGTTCGCCCTTTGTTTGAAAAATTCCCAAATGTATGGGTACCAAGAAACGAAAATACAATGCCTCCTGCCTGCAGTCTCGATGTCTCGTCACACATCGCTAGTAACGAAACAACCTCACGTTGTTCGTCACGGCCCCCTGGCGCACCTCCCCTCAAGGGCCCCCAGACGAACCTCCACTCACAGCCTACCCTGACGAACCTCCACTCACAGATCCCCTGACGAGCCTTCGCTCACAGCTCCCCTGACGAACCTTCGCTCACAGCTCCCCTGACGAACCTCCACTCACAGCTCCCCTGACAAACCACTCACAGCCTCCCCTGACGAACCTCCACTCACAGCCTCCCCTGACGAACCTCCACTCACAGCCTCCCCTGACGAACCTCCACTCACAGCCTCCCCTGACGAACCTCCACTCACAGCCTCCCCTGGCGAACCTCCACTCACAGCTCCCCTGACGAACCTCCACTCACAGCCTACCCTGACGAACCTCCGCTCACAGCTCCCCTGACGAGCCTTCGCTCACAGCTCCCCTGACGAACCTCCACTCACAGCCTACCCTGACAAACCTCCACTCACAGCCTCCCCTGACGAACCTCCACTCACAGCCTACCCTGACGAACCTCCGTTCACAGCTCCCCTGACGAGACTTCGCTCACAGCTCCCTGACGAACCTCCACTCACAGTCTACCCTGACGAACCTCCGCTCACAGCTCCCCTGACGAGCCTTCGCTTACAGCTCCCCTGACGAACCTCCACTCACACCTTCCCTGGCGTGCCTTCACTCACAGCCTCCCCTGACGAACCTCCACTCACAGCTCCCCTGACAAACCACTCACAGCTCCTCTTACGAACCCCCACTCACAGTTCCCCTGACGAACCTCCACTCACAGTTCCCCTGACGAACCTCCACTCACAGCCTCCCCTGACGAACCCCCACTCACAGTTCCCCTGACGAACCCCCACTTCTGCCTCGAACTCCCGGGCCGTGACTGGATGGTATGCTATTCATCTGGTCGCGTTCGAAGAACGGGCGATCACCACGGTGTGAGGTCAACAACAGTCCGTGACGTGTCATGACAATGACAGGATCATTGCCGCATCTCGAAGAGGTCAAAGCCCTAAGGTTTCAGTTAAACGTTGGACGAGAAAGGCTGCCTGAAAACTCAGCTTTCAGGGTCTGAGCATGTAATGAAGAAGTTATAGCCTTGAAAGACAGATACGCTTCAGAGAAGCAACAAAATCAGCATGCAGCCATCGAGAGGGTGGTGGATAAAGTATTCGTTAAACACTCCAAGTTAACCTAATACTAATATGTTATTTGACACCCCAGTATAATACGGCCTACGGAAAAGCAGTACAGTTCGTCATAAACAATTCAATCCGTACGCCATTAAGTATGTCAGCGCTCCCAATCTTATTTATTTTGTAATTCTGAATCGATAAGTTATGATTACCCCGAATTTTCCACCAAAATTCATTTTACATGAGCCACGTGCATTGTTACCTGCGATTGTGAACAGGATCACACAAGCGGCTGACAAGTGCAGAGAAGTGCTCTACGCAGCGATCCTATTCAGGCAAAACAAGTCCAGTCACGTAAATGAACCCAACATCTCGCTTGTGCCCGAAAACGCCTTTTGAGTGGAATCGCTGCCCCGTTTTTGGCTATTATAACAGATATTTTCGGCTCGTGGGATGTAATGCATGACATGACATGTGGCAGCCCCACCTTTCAGTCCTGCCGGTTGGCGCAGTTGGAAACTTCTGATGCATGCGAACACCCTTACTTCGCTGAGCAGTGTGATCAGTCTCGTGATGGTTTGTTTGGATTTTTCAGCTGTTATCCCTACCGCTCTGTATCCACCATCTACTGCTGCTGCGGTAGTGACATATTGAAAGGTTTCACCCCGACTTATGTAAATGCGATAGCCGAAGATGTTGATGGTGTTGCGAGTGGCCACAGCAGCACGGGCATCACAGCACTATCACATTACGTCACCTGATTGGAAGAGCATGCGGTGATGGTCCGACAGCAAACCAAAGATAGCAAAAATATGACAGTTTGTATGATTTACCGCGGAATAAATATCGTGTGCGGGATCCAAAGCATCCTGAATATATGATATTTGCTCTAACCGGAAGGGGCATTAGCCCCATAGAAGATTCCAAGGGCCGAAATCACATTTAGATTAAGGTGCATTGCAAATCTCCGTGCCATTCGTTACTCTTCCGGTGGTCTCTCCCAGGGTGAGGTCTGGTGCTGATGGGCGTGTCGTCGCTTACAGGTACATCCGGGACAACGGCGGCATTGAGTCGGAATCGGCTTACCCGTACACCGCTCGCGATGGCTCCTGCCGCGCCTCCGGCTCCAACGTCGCTTCCCTCTCCTCCTGGGTGGACATCCCATCTGGCAGCGAGAGCTCCCTGCTTGATGCTGCCGGCGGCGTCGGCCCCGTCTCGGTGGCGATTGATGCGTCCCACCAGTCGTTCCAGCTGTACTCAGGCGGTATCTACAACGAACCGCGCTGCTCTAGCCGCCAGCTGGACCACGGCGTGCTGGTGGTTGGCTACGGCAGCGGCTTCTGGCTGGTCAAGAACTCTTGGGGCTCCAGATGGGGCCAGGGCGGTTACATCATGATGACCCGCAACGGCAGCAACCAGTGCGGTATTGCCACCCAGGCCTCCTATCCACGTGTTTAGACTGCGTGCCTGATAAAAACAGCATCCAGACGAAGGCAAGAACAATGCTTGAAGACACGTTGTGGAACTCAAATGTTTTCCTTCCGTCTGGAATATCAAAACTTTCCTTGTTATGCATGATTTCTAAAGCCATCACCAATAAATTATTGAGAAACGTGTGTTTGGGCTTGTTTGCAGCTGAACGAGAAGACGCTTTTTCAAAGCCTCATCGAATGCGACTTGTCCGTTACGAAATCCCTTTCAACACCTGGTCATGCGACTACGTGCAGTTTACTGCCAGCCTATACTAGTAAATATTGCCAGCGTACAAATGCTATTCATCTCGGTTACTAGTTCAACTAGTGTACCTTTTGCCTAAAATATACACCCAGTGTTGCCATGCTTACGACACAGTTGACCGGCAGATGTTCAGAGATGAGATTCAGTCCCGGTGCACATTTGCGTTAGTTTTACTTGTGTTCGTATTGTGTCTTAAAAAGACGACAGATGTGTCATTGCTCAACAAAGAGAAGTTGCAACGAATACGAACATTCATCGAGAAAACCAACGACATTTCTACGTAGCAAGTTAACGTTAGCGTTTTTTTGTTGTTGTTTACTTTGAACCTATTCACCATAGTTTCATAAGTATGAGTAATATATATATATATATATATATATATATATATATATATCCGCTCACGAGGGCGTCCAACACCCTAAACGGCGTGTTCCACGGCCCAACGGTTCCTTGTAACTTAGGCATGAAGAGCACTGGTTGTAGAGCATGCGTATACAATCAGGTTTTCGAGCAAGCTATGTGCATGTATAACTGAACCTCATGTATGTCACAAATACGGCGCGTCTTCTCACTTATACGCCGTTCAGCTGCATTACCGCTCGGATCTGGCTTAATGATACCAGATTTATTTTCATGTGTCATGCAGCGGTGACAATGAACAACATCATGCGGATCGTTCTCTACGAAAATACGGCATGCAACTTTTTAACTCATATAGGGGTCTCTCTAGTCTTGGCAGGGGCGAAATCAGTCTTTCATGAGCGGCCGTTAATGATGTTCGGTTCTTTAGAGTCATCGCTCATGGGTGCGAAACAGTGCTTAAAGGGCAGTGTGGCACATTTTCATGGGTGTTTGCAATGAAATATCCACCTTGAATATTATTCGGAGTCGTTTACACGCCCTGCCCTTCTTAAGGCCTAAAGTTTCTGAACAACGCGCCCGCGAAGACGCGCGCTTTTTTCGTGGAGACTATTTCAAGGTCCGTGGCGCCAAAATACCGTATTTATGTGGCGCCAAAATATCGTCCCCTCAATTGGTCACGCGGCGATCAAGTAAATGTAGTTGTCTAGTCGTTCATATCTGGTGTTCGTAAGCACGATTTCCGGATCTGACGGTCGTCAGTTAGCTCTCAATCAGTGTTATGCGATGTACGATGACGTAATCAAACCACGACGTATTTAGAAGCATAATTACTTAGCAGATAAATTCTGTTGTCTATAGCAGTCGTTTCCACTTCAAACTATACGAATGGTTATAAGTGAGCTTACTTCATCATATCTCACATTTACATCAGCATCTTTAACACGTGTCCGGATGGACAGTTGGATACCGTTGGCTCGGGTGGGGTTGGGGGTCAATTTACCCCCCTCCCTTTCTGAGGTCTCAGGAATTAAGAGAACTAGAGACACCAAATTTACGGAGTGTGTTGGCCTGTACCTGAACTGACGCAGGTTGAAGTTTATTTTACCTAGGTCATGACCTTCGGGTCAAATAAGGTCAATCCAGGTCAATTTCGAGGTTGGTCTCCAAAGTGCCCCCAACGCATATGCATCACAATTTTCCGAATAAGCATGCCAGCTGGGCCACATTCTTTGCAAATTGACGGCTGAAAACGGAATGGGTAAGCGCCAGCAGTAGCAGCGCCTCAATGTTTTCTTCCACATACAGCAGCTGCCGCCCATCAATGAGAATGACGTCTTTGTCACCTTCTGCCTGCTGGAAGTTGCTCGGCCCACCGAGTTCTCGGACCCCTTCCAGCCGGACTTCTCATCCTGATCCAACCCTTCGTCTGAAATGGTATTTTAATATAAATGGTTGGAGTAAGTATCAAAACTCGTGTGGGGATCTGTTCCTGCTTCGGTATCAAGATTAAACTTACAACAAGGTTACCTTTCACCCGATGAGCGGTGGCCACCGCTAAGCACTTTGTTTTCGAGGACCACAGCTGTATGACGCGCAAAAGAACTGTCATATATTGCCCACCTGACCATGCGTATATTGCGCAGGTGTTGGAAGTTAGTATCAGGTTTTCCAAGTTCACCGAACTATGTGTTATTACTGAAGCAGGGAGCTAGAATTGCTTTTGAACTAGGGTAGGAGGGAAAAATTCCATCGCAAAAAGACCGTGCAGGAGTGAAAGAACCTATTCACAAAATACGGAACTTATGAGCTCGTGACTGATGCTTCAGCAAACGAAGACATGTATTTTAAGTTGGCATGGACGTAATATCATAAACCTGACAAAAAAGTTGTTTTTTAACATCTCAAGCTGTTAAAGTGAAACAGAATATGTTAAAACATAGTAATTTCACGACAGTGTAATGAGCATAAACAGTTATTAACACCAATAATTTGATGCTGTACTTTGCACTTCCCTTCCACAGCACTTTAACACAAAACAAGACAAGGAATTAAAAAACAATAGCATTTTACATGTGGTGAAAGGACACCGCAAACATGCTGACATTGCACGAGGCTGGAGCCATGACAATTGCATGTAGTTATGGTTGGATAGGCAAAATGCAAGGAAGTGATGAAGCTGCCAGTGCACACAAGGCTCATGATAAACATATTAAGTGTTGTCCAAGACACCAACAGCAATAATTTTCCACCTTTCTCAGCACCTGGCATTCCATGCAAGCTGCAGTGACTGTGACACTGATTACTCAGGAGTAATGATCGCCTGCATGCAAGATTTGTGAAGACAGTACAATGTGCATCGGTGATAATGACACCCTATATGCTCAGAATTTTTTAATGAAAGACAATTTGCAAAGCCATATAATTTGGGCTTATACTGAGCATGTGATTTAATGACCTGCTCACACCAGCCACTACTGTCGAAATGAATTGCTGACATAATGACATGCAATGGATTAATTACATGCTGTAATACTTCAATAGACTCACAATGTTTGCAAGATCATTATGAAGTACCAGTACCAGCACTTGCCTTTGCGCACCCCTGCAACATAAGTGCTAGTGTTTCTCTCAGTTTGTCAGCATTTCTTTGTCACGTTCAAACACGAACATAGAGGTAGAGGCAGGCATCAATATCAATAGGCATCAATATATCAGGCATCAATTTATCACATTTTATTGGAAGTCAGTAGACTGAAGAAAACCAAAACAATGTTCTCTCTCAGAAGAACTAACCTCGCACGCACACTCCCCATCACATCAGTACCAATACAAACCACTGGCACACACCACCAGTGATCATTCGCATTTCGAGCCCCCGATTCACACTCTTTTGTCAAATAAGTGTGATCTCACATTTGCACAGCTCGTGGGACTATCAAATTGGAGGTTTTCTCACAATTTCCGCACAGATTTCCAGTCACAACACCGAACTTCACCGTGGCCTCCCTTCGAAACAAAGTTCCAATGGGGGTTCATGGTAATGCGACTCAAGAGGTTCATCTTGTAAACACAATGTTTTGTTCAAGATCTAAAGTTGTCGCACCATATGTGCGACACACATAGAAAAAATGTATCTAAAATTACTGTAATGTTTCCCTAATTTCATAACGCCTTGCTAACCCCATAAGCCCGTGCAAGGTTCTGTGCCACGGTACACGAGGCGCCAACCGAGCTGTGGGTAAGAGATACGCTAGCAGAAGAAAAAAACGCCAGCAGCAGAAAAAAAGGTAGATTTTCCGTCGCGTCTTCTTTTTTATAACTTCGCGAGGGTGCCCATTTTTTGGGTGCCGCACTTTTTTGCAGACAGTGGCGTTCTTTTTTATAACATTGACCTGTGACCTAAAAATCAGGAAAAGTGACTCATTCACGAGTGTCGCACAACCCGAAATTACTCACGTTTGTGTTCGCGACACGCATTCAGCAGTACAATCTTACTGACAGCCAATCATCTTTCGTGAACTGTACCACATGTGCAGCATCATCGTCTTTGCGAATGGAGCAGTGGCCATGCTGTTTTGACCGGACACAAAAAACAGCCTGTAATATCACGGGATCTAATGACGTTTCTAGGGCGTCGTTAATCAGATGGTGATCTTGAAGTTGGCTGTAAATAAGCCTTTTCGTACTTTGCGAGCGTGTAACCCAGGAACCAGAGCGTTTTGGGTCTTAAAAAGGGCATATCCGTGAACTGCATCAAAATGTCCTCAAGATGGCTGTTTCAGTTCAAAACGCCCTACAAATGTGGAACATTCCCTTTAATGACTTACCTGTGGATGTCTCACGACTGAATTCAACTAGTTGTAAGCGTGCTGCCAGGTTCTTTTTGTGCGTTTTGGTAGCCTTATTATGCTTATGCATGCATGCGGTTATGCGCTTTTATCCCTCATCACCTTATGTTTTCTTTTTTTGACATACTGTTTTATCTCTCAGAGTGATGACACGGAATGGCCACGCATGTATGCGGAGTGTCAGCTGATATCAAATACAAATAGAAATACAAGGCACCCAAGGTGGGCAAAGTCAGGTTACTCCAGTCCCCTCTGGAATCTTTATTAAAAAATAATAAGGCAAAGAAACAGAAGACACATACGCCAAAAGCATGACACACATAATACACGGGTACGTATAGATTAGATCAGAAAAGGATTTGTCACACTAAATTCAGTTTTTTGGTCATTAACAGAATGAAAATGTGCCGTAAATTGGGTTAGCCGATTTATCTTGGAGTGAAAGATATTTTGCTATTGCTCTGAAAGATAAAGATATTATGTTTGGTACAGCTCATAACTCAAAACAGACTGTAAAAAAGAGAAGACTCGTACGGATTCAAAGTCAAGCAGCATGACTGATTACGCGACTCAGGTGAGTCATCAACGATGATGATTTAATGGGATAGGGACCCAATGTCATCTGCCTCATGCCCAACCCACATACATGTGGTTGCGTGTACACGATC